GGTTTTTAAAGACAGGGTGTCACTATGTAATGAGGCTGACCTGGAACTCGCTGTGTAGCCCAGGCTGGTCTCACACTCACAGGGATCCTCCTGCCTCAGCCTCCCGAGTGCTGGGATTACAGGCTTGAGCCACCATGCCTGGCTTTGAGTGTAATTTCTTATCCTATCCCATGTAAGACCCAAGCAGGAAGAAGAATCTCAGTTTGGTTTCAATTTGCATTTCCAGAATGGTCAGTGTTGTTCAGTATTTTTTCATGTGGATCCCCAAGTTATGACCAGCCTGACATACGAACAACTTGGTTTACTCCAGTTAATGGAAGATTCACTTGCCTCTTGTTGTCTATAGTGTGTACCCAGGTAAACATCCAGATCTCAGCTGTATTGTCTTGCAACCAACTTGAGTTATAATCAGCCCTTGGTTACCGACTAAGTTCTTAAGTCAAGGGTCCACTGTGTTTATTGCTCATTTATACTTCGGTGAAGTGTCTGTTCATTTCACTTGCCCATTTTTGGGTTTGGCCTTTTTTTCAGAGAAGGGGGTCTAGTTTTCTTGAGATCTTTATATATTCTAAAACAAGCTGGGTGTGGTGGTGCATGCCTGTAATCCCAGGACTCCAGAGGTGGAGGCAGGAGGATCACTGTGAGTTCAAGGACAGCCTGGGCCAGATAGTGAGAACTTGTCTCAAGAACAAACAAACAAACAAACAGGACATTATCTTCCCACATTAGTAAATAGACCTATATATTCAGAACCATCATTTTTTTTCTAAACAAGGAAGGGCACCTTGGGTACCTGTGAACTCTGGAACAAGGCTGCCTCACAAAATGTAGGAAACCGGACAGATATTTCTTGGCCAAAGGTGGCAACCGATTCAGGCAGCTGTTGTGATGACAGCGGAATGCTCCAGGGCTGCATTTCCATCTCAGGGGGGCCAGCACGGGGCTGGAGTCCGCTTCCCTGCTCCTGGATCCCCACAAGGGAGAAACTGCAAGGGACTTCAGGGCCTGCCCAGGAAAGCTGTGTCTTCCTGTAACCGAGAACTCAGTATAAGGCCAGTTGGCTAGAAGCGTCTTGGAGTGCTGTCCGCGCGGCCTCTACACCCCTCCAGCAGGCAGGCAGGCCTCGTGGCACTGGGACACGCTGTCCCCCACATGGCACAGCGCGGCCCCTGAGACCGTCCTCCCGGGAAGCTGCGGGCAGCTGCGTTAGCTGTGGTGAGCTCCGTCCACCCGTGTGGCTAAGGCCGCCTGTCTCTGCTCTTGCCTGGGACTTGGGGGATTGGGGAAGCAGAGCTCTCCTCTGCATAGAACGAAGACACACTAGGGGATCTATCATCTCTGCTTTATTTTGGCAGGGACAGGGTCTTAGTATGTGGCTCAGGCTGGCCTCAAACTTGTGGCGATCCTCCTGCCTCAGTTTCCAGAGCGCTGGGATGACAGGCGTGCGCCACCATGCCCAGCATATGACATGTATTTTTAATTGGTAAGATGGTCGGGGGGTATCTCACTATGTTGCCCAGGCTGGTCTCAAACATCTGGACTCGAGGAATCCTCCCGCCTCAGCCTCCTGACCACAGGTGTGTGCCAACTCATTCATCCAGGGTCTCCAGCCACAGGCCACGCTGCGCTGTGGGTACCTTGAGATGTACTTACCACTCTCAGCCCTCAGCCCGGACGGCTCTCCCAGCAGGACCCTGCCCAGGTTGGTCTGGGGTTGGGCAGGCCATCCTTGGTTGCTAAATGGGAGGAATCAAGAGGCTGGGGGATGGACGAACTAAGTTTCACTTTTTGTTTTTTTTCTTTTGGTACCAGAGGTTGAACTCAGGGCCTCAAGTTTCCCTTTCTAAAAGTCAGGGCCAAGGCTGGGGTTGTGGCTGAGAGAGGTACCGCCTTGCACACGACTCTGGTTCACTCCCTAGCACTGCAAAAACAAAACAGAAACTAACAAGAAACAGACAAAAAGAAAATCAGGTTCTTTGAGCGAGGAGAGGTAGGAAGCTCCCTGATACCAGGGTCGGCCAGCTGAAGTCAGCCTTTCGTCTTCTAGACTCCAGTCTGTCCTGGGTATCACCGCAAAGCTTTTGTTTCCTTGTTAAATATTTTTTTGGGGGGTAGTGGTACTAGGGATGAAGCTCAGGGCCTACACACTAAACTACACTTCCAGAACTCGGGTCCTTGAGCTTGCGAGGCAGCCGGTGGAACCACTGAGCTAAATCCCTGACCTGATTTTTTTTTTTTTTTTTAATTTTGAGACATAGTCTTGGGAACTTGCTAAATTGCCCAAAGTTGTGATCCTGCTGCCTCAGCCTCCCAGAGTGCTGAGCTTGTACACTACCGTTCCTCTTGTCAAGAAACATCTGAGTGGCTGTGATGGTCACACATCTATATGGGGTACAGTGCGATCGCTGGATACAGGTATACCGCGTGCAATGGCCAAACCGGGGTAACAAGGCCCCCCACCCCCTTAAACACCTACCATTTCTTTGTTTTGGGTCCCTTCCAGCTCCTCTCTTCTAGTTCTTTATGAGGGAGGAGCAGGGGGAGGAAAGGTTGAGGGGATTTTAAGAAAAGAAAGAAAGAAACCAGGTGCAGTACGCACACGTAACCTTTCCCCAAGATGATTGTAAACGGTTCGAATGGCAAACGTGTTAGTAAAAAGAATCTGTAAAGTTGTCAACCGTGGTCACCTCGCTGAGCCCTAGGACGCTAGGACCGTGTCCCACACCGGTCACAGCTGGGAGCCCATGACAAGAACAGGGCTGTGGCTGATTCCCCCTGTCCCCAGTCAGGGAAACAGCGAGGGGAGTGGGTGTGACGGAGGAGCTGCACGCAGGACGCCTTCGAGGCCCCGTGGGTTTGGGAAGAGTGGAGGTTTCATCCTGAGAGCAGTGGGGAGCCCTGGGAGGCCTTATGGCGAGGGGAGGCAAGGTCAGGGATCCAAAACAGAAAGGCCCTTCTGGCTGTGCATACTCAGGAGGGACAGAGGACCAGAGGCCGGGAGGCTGAAGAGGTCTCATTGCTGTCAGCAGGGGGACAGGACTGTGGCGGGGACAGGAGGGAAAAAGGTAAGCGGCTTGCACGGGGACTCAGGAGGCAGGACGAGGGGGCCTTGCGCAGGTCTGGGCTGTGGGAGGCAGTGAGCTCTCCCACCACGGCCCGGGGCTTCCTGGACGGTGAGAAGTCTGGACCTGCGGCCTCTGTTCCCGCCGGCCCCCGGCTGCGGCGTCCAACTCTTCCTGTCACCTGCAGTTTCCCAGCCTGGAAAGTCCCAGCTGCTCCTCAGGTGGCCCAGGACGGGCGTGGGCTGGGGGGAGGCCTCACATCCCAGCAGCTGGCCCTAGGGCAGCAGACGCCCTGGGCTGACGCTCTTCCTTTTCCTGCAGGGGGACCCAGGCCAGGGCCTCCGGGAACCCATGAGGAAAGGCAGGGTGTGCAGTGACCGGCAGGGGTCAGGGCCACAGGAACCCACGACCTCGTGGACTCAGAGCCCCCAGGGCGGCAGCGGAGGGTGCGGGGCTCAGGTGCACATGCGCGCTCCTCTCTCCACTTCAGCCCCTGCTGGAGCACCTCTGCAGGTGTCTCTGTAAAGCTCCTCCCAGTTTTGTTTTCTTGGGCTGGCTCTCCGAAATCGTCTCTTTGTTCTCTCTCTCTCTCTCTCTGTGCTTTGCCGGCCTCCTGCCTTTGAATGGATGCTCCCTGGGAGCAGGGATTTTTGTATGTCCGTGCCCACTGTCGGCAGTAAGTGCGCAGGAAACATTAGTTGGAAGAGACTAGGAGGCAGCCCCTGTCGAGAGACAGGAATCTAAAGGAGCTGCGCATTCAAGAAAAGGCACCATCTGTGCAAAGGCCCTGGGGCAGGGGTGGAGGCTGGTGTGTTGGGAGAGCAGCAAGGAGGTTTGTGTGGCTGGCCTAGAAGGAAGGATGGGGAGAAAGGGAGGAGTGGAGAGAGGGAAGGGATGGGGCAAGTCCTTCAGTATCTTGTGGGCTGCGTGCGGGAAGGGATTGGGCTTTGACTCCAGGGGAAGTGAGCGACCCAGAGGGCTGAGGACAGAAGACCGAGGGACCTAATTTGGTTGCTCACAGCGCCCTCTGGTGGTGGAAGCCAAATGTCTGTGGGCAGGGGAGGTGGGAGCATGGAGTAGAGGAGTCAGCTGTGGGGACCTCGGACCTGGGGTCCAGCACGGAGAGTTGGCTGCTCCAGACCCCACGTGGGGGTAAGGAGGAGGCAGGAGAGGCCCTGGGGAGTAGTTGTGTCCTCCAAACATCCTCGCCCACCCTTGGGAGTAGGCTTTGCTCAGCAGAGGGTGAAGGGAGAGTTTGGATCGTGCTGTACTCATCTGTGGATTAATCCGTGGAGGCGTCAGCGCCGCGCACGCTGTTAGGAGGCGGGGCCTTCTCAGAAGAGGAAGTCGCTGGGGTCGTGACCCGGAAGTGTTTCTCTCCCTCCCGGGCTCCTCGCTTCTCTCTCCGCTTCCCGGCCGCCATGCGGTGAGCAGCTCTCCTCCGCCAGACCCTTCCGCCACACCCTTCCTGCCTTGGAGCCAGCTGACCATGGACTGAAACCTGTAGACATCGTGAGTCCAAATGAACCTCTCCTCCTTTAAGTTGTGGGTGGCAGTGTGTATGGGGCTGGGGAGAGAGGTGCCAGCCCTGCGCTGTGGGCGTGTGCACACGTGCTGAGTGTGTCTCTCTGTGTGCCCGAGGCTGGTGGAGCACGCCTGCGCCTGCACGCACACACGAGCCCTGTGTGTGCTCACCTGGGTGTGTCGGGCAGAGCCGTGAGTATTTGAGGCCCTGGACATGGTGATTGTTACCTGTGATGTGTGAACTTGATTTGAGTAGGAACCGCTGGGCGGATTGGCAAAGCTCTGGGTGTGTCTGTGGGTGACTGACGGCGGAGGGTGCAGGCTCCGGATCTGGGCAGCTCCAGCCAGTAGGCGTGTAGCCTGCATGGCATAAAAAGGGAAAGGAAGTCTTCTCCTTTCTTTGGAGGGGCTCTGGTCTTTGCCATTGTCCTTGGACGTTGGTCTCCAGTTCCTTCAGGCTTGCAGCACAGTCTCTTCAGCCGGCTGCCGGACTCACACCCGTGACTGTGCAGCGAGCTTGCAGGCTTCTTCAGGCTTCTTCTGACTGGATCCTGCCCTCTGGCACATGGGTGGCCCTTTTGGAACCTCATGGCCCCTGGGACTCTTCCTGTTCGGATCCTGTCAGCCTGCCTCACGGTCCTGTCTCTAGTCATACACTTTTTCTGTCGACTCTCTTCCTCCCCAGAGCCCTAACTCATACCGATGTCCATGCGTGTGCTCAGGTGGGTCTGAGGGCATTGTCGTGTGTGCCCACTTGCATGTAAACATGCACCTGAACATATTTCATGTGCCCGTGTGAACACACGTGTGTCCCCGGCGTGCCTGTGCTCACCCACTGTGTGTATGTGAGGACATCAACATGAGGTGCCCATGTGCTGAGCCTGGCACCAGGGCTGTGTGGACCCCCGCTCCCCAGGACAGCTTGACCAGCCCGGCCTCCCTCTCTCCGGCTTCGACCCGAGCCTCTCGGCTCCCTCCTCACCCCCGAGCCAAGTGCACCTTCAGAGAAAAAGGTTGCAGAGCAGGAGCCCCTCCCCGACCCTTCCCATCCTCCAGACTTGGGGAGCCAGAATGGTTTTTTTAGAAAGGCCCCCGGGCTCCCAGGGGAGGGCAGGAGCTGGGACCACGATAACTGGACAGAGCTCCGGGAGGACAGCAGCAAAGTTCAGACAAAGGCCCGGGCAATTGCACCACGGCCCCTCCTTGTCTGCCTGCTTCACTTCCTGCTGCTGGAGTTGCCTGTGGTCAGCCAAGGTCTGAGAATATCAGATAGGTAATTCCAGAAATAAATAGCGTACGCATTTTTAACTTTCACTTAGAAATTTCATGACTGCTGCTTCTTCCTGTCTTCCCCCCGCTCCCATTCATCCCCTTTTCCTCCTCCTCCTATTGTCAGTTATTACCGAGAATCACTGTGCGTGCAGAAGTTATGCACTGTGTGTATTGTTACTGTGTAGACCGAGCGTGCCCCCCGAGACCCTTTTGCTTTTGGACGGCAAATGGATCACGAGGGTGCTTGACTGCATTGCTAGGTGTGCTGCTGGGAGGTGGGACTGGGTTAGCGGTGGTCCCGGGGGTGGTGAGCCGGAAGTGTTTATCCCCCTCCCAGGCCCCGCCTCCAGCTCTGCTTCCTGGTCTCCATGAGGTGAGCAGCCTTCCTCCGCTGTGCCCCTGTGCCATGCTGGTTCTGCCCTGGAACCAGCCAACCATGGACTGTAGCCACGAGCCGCCGCAAACCCCTCTCCTCCTCTACGCTGGGGGCGGGGGCGGGCCTCGTGTCTAAGCCACGAGGAAGCAGCAGAGACTTGGGTGCACAGTGTTGGCAGGATTACAGAGCAAAGGGAACTCTGCTGTTGGTGGTGAGATGCTCAGGGGGCCAATCACCCTGGAAAAGTTCCATATATCTATGTATGTATTAGGCAGGGTTTCACTGTGTTGCCCAGCAGGTGGGCCGTGAACTTGGAATCCTCCCGCCTCAGCCTCCTGAGTAGCTGGGACTATAGATGTGCTCCGCCATACTTAGGTTTTGGGGATTTTCATGTAAAGTTAAATCTCAGTTATCCTGTGGCCTAGAAATTCCACTGGTGGATACTTCCCTGAGAGCAATGAAAATGTGTGACAGGTTGCATTGTAGCAGCTGTAGTTATGAGAGTCCTTCTGTGCCCATCAACAGATAGATGGATGAAGAAATTGCAGTATGTTCGTAAATAGAAAAATACTTAGTAAAAAAAAAAACTTCCTCCTCCTTGTATTCTCCTCCTCCTCCTCCTCTTCCTGCACCTTCTTTTTCCTTTTCTTTTCTCTTTTGGGATTAAGTCTCCCTATGTAGTTCAGACTGGCCTCGAACTCACTGTGGAGCCCAAGTGCTGGGATGACAGGCCCGGTTCCACCACGCCCAGCCCAAGCTTTTTAACTATGCGGAGACACAGATGAATTTCAAATGTGAAAGAAACCATGCATAAAAGACCATATACTGCATAGTTCCTCTTCTGTGATATTCCGGAAGAGGCAATAATCATCACCAAGGGACAGAAATCAGGACGGGGCTGGTCTGGATTGGGAAGGTGGAGTGGGGTAGTGAGGGGAGCCTGCGGGGTAAAAATGATGACATTTTGCTGTGCTGTGATGGGCGGGGATGTCGGTCACACATCCATCCAGGCTCGCGCCGTGCCTCCCTGTGCCTCTGTGTCACGTTGTGTGTGAGTTATGTCTCGATGAAAGCGTGGGCTTGGCTGGTGAGAGACGCACACCCAGTCCTGCCGCGGACTCCTACGCCAACAGCGTTCTTACCATCGCCCTTGTACAATGCCCGCCGTCCACCTCTGTGGCAGGTGCCCTCACTCTGCTGCGGTGGAAAGAAAAACGCTCTGCCCCGTCCTGGGGCTGTTGTTTGGAATCTGAATCTGAGAGCGGAGGAGCTGAGGGGTTCCGAGCAGGGCAGGGTGACCCAGGGCCACCACGGTCCTCACGAAGGCCCTGGCGAGAGAGGGCGGCAGGAGCCAGGGGAGGAGCGGAGAAGACGGGGCTGCTGGGTGCAGGCAGAGGGGCTGGGGGGCCCTCGTGCTTGGGTAGAGCTGGGGTGTGCGGGGCCTGCGGAGAGATGGGCCGGTGGGCTGCAGACAGAGCTCTGTAGAGAGAGGCACCTGTACCCTGCACGTGTGTGTGTGTGGGCGCCCGCCCGCCTGTGTCACCACAGATCTCTCAGCTGTCTGCACTGCGACACGTCACCCCTTCTGTCTGTCTGTCTGTCTGCCGGCGAGTCCGTTTACCCATTGCCCATCCGCCCGTCCATCTCCACACATCTAGGTGTCTGCGAATGTGTGTGCCGTGACTCATTGTCCTCCCTGCTCTCCTCCCTTCCACCCTCTCAGCCCCCCTCTCTTCCAGCCACTCCCGGGCCCCTCCCTCCTCCCACCGTGCATCCACCTGTACACATCCATGTCGGTCTGTGAGTCCCTCCCCCTCTCCCTCTGCCCCTTTCTGTCTCCCTGTCCCCCCTGTCCCCCAGGTGCAGGCCAGTCCGGAGTCCGGAGCTGGGAGTGGGTTCCTCTTTCTCATGGGCCTGCAGCTGCATCCTCTGCTCCGCGGCTGGGCCCCCGGAGCCTCCCACGGAGTGGACGCAGACCTCACTGCCCTGGGCCCGGCGTCGGTGGAACTCGCTCTGGCTGCAGTCGTTGCAGGGTCTGGAATGCAGCCGACACGGTCAGATGTTTGCAGTAGGAACCGAGGACAGCACGTGGTGACCGTGGCTTCCCAGACAGGGCCTTTCCGAGCCAGGCCCAGGACAGGGTCCCAGAGTGGCTCTGGCTGGGGGTCTCCCGTCTTTCAGAACACACTCGGAACCATGGTCGCATTTACTGGGCATGGGCTGTGCGCCGGACCTGGCCAAGCAGGTGCAAAGGCTGTTTTCTGTCCTCCATGCTGGCAGGGCGGAGTTCACGTTGTGAAAGTGCAGAAGGGCAGGGGAAAGAAACCCTAACTGGTCATCATCATCGTTATTATTGTTGTTATTGTTGTTATTTTGGTTTCTTGAGACAGAATCTTGCGATGTAGTTCCGGCTGGCCTTGAACTCACTATTTCAAGGCCAGTGGAGCCTTGAAACCACAGTGATCCTCCTGCTTCAGCCTCCCAGTGGGATGACAGGTGTACCCCACCACACCTGGCTGGTTTTTATTTTTATGTTTCCCAGGGTCATCATGAAATGTTTAAGTCCTTAAATGCCAAATAAGATTATCTATCTATCTATCTATCTATCTATCCATCCATCCATCTCTCCTACTTCTGGAGAAAATTGCCATGAAAAATGAAAAAGGGCACATAAGCCTGAGAAACAGCCACCATTGAAGAAATTCTCCTATCTCATCCCCTCAGGCCCCAGGCTGGGATTACAAGCGTACAGCCTTTTTGCCCACTTTTAAGATAAAATTTTAGAGAGCTCACAGTACACGATGAATACATTCACCGTGGGACGGTGGCCCATGTACATAACACATCTTAACTCCTCTGCCTCTTTTAAAAAAATCAGAAATTTTGGTTTTTCCCCCATGAAGTGTCAGTGTTCTTTATATATGTGACATACAAGTCTTTCATGAGACAAATATTTTACAGATATTTTCTCTCCATCTGTGACTTGTCTTTTAATCCAAAGAACAAAACTTTTATAGCTGATGAACTCCAGTCATTGGATGGGGGGTTCGTGTGAGGTGCTGTGAGGGCACTGCAGTTTTATAGATGTGCAAAGTGAGACCCAGAGAGAGGGCAGCTTGTCTGAGGCCAGTTGCTACTGAGTGCACTCCAGCCCTCTGAGGCTCGTACTGATTGGGCCAGTGCCTCCTGCCTAGCAGTGGGGCTGCCGGATCTTATGGTACTTCTGTTTCAAGGTATTTAGAAGCCTCCATACTGGTTTCCATTATAGATGTACCAATTTACATTCCCACCAAAAGTATGCAAGGGTTACCTTTTCTTCACCAGCACTTATTATAGTTTATCTTTCTCACGTTAGCCATTTTAACCACAGGGTGGCAGTGTCTCACTGGGGTTTTGTATCTATAGCTCCCTGATGGTTAGGGATGCTGAGAGGTTTTTTTTCATGTACCCATTGGCCCTTTGTCATTTGCTGAAGTTCCCCATCAGCCACTCATAACAGAGTCCATTCTCAGCTTGTTTTGTTACCCTCTTGCTGACTTCTCAAGTTGAATATTTTGGATGTGTGTTTACTGCTCTGGTGGCATGGAAAAGGAAGAGATCATTTTGTGACGTGTAGGAGAGAGAAATGTCAGGGAAAGGAAATTTGCAGTTGGGTTTTGATGGATGAATAGGAGTTTTCTAAGATGTATAAGAGGTTGATTCCAGATGAGATAACTGTCAGTCAGAGCAATAGCATCCTCTCGGGAGGGAGACTTCAGGATGCCCAGATTTTGCCAAAATTCCACTTCAAAGCTGTGCTCACGTCAAATCAGACTGGGCAGCAGGGCACAATCTGCTTGGCTCTCTCCCTCTTTGCCCTGAAATGTGTCATGGGGACAGTTTGGGAAGGTGACCATGTTCTGGAGTTGAATGATGGTGATTATTGTACGAGCAGGTGACTGTCCCAAACAGCACTGACTGCACCCTGGTGACCATGGTAAACTATCTGTTATGTGTATTTTACTGTGATGAAAAATGATAAAATTGCTAGATGAAGAAGAGCACACACACACAGTTTATTAGGGTGTTTGTTCG